CCTTTTCCCCCCTTAATTCTCTCCATTGTATGCATGACCTCTCTAGTAATAATGATTTTTCATGAATGAGTCTCCCAGGGACAAAACCAGTTTGAAAAGGAGATATCAATGTATCCATATGCTTCTTGAGTCTCCACCATAATCTTGCTTAAGACTTTGTATATTGTGCTGCACAAATAAATCAGTCTAAAATGAGACACCGGACTAGGGTTCACAATTTTCAGAATAAGACATATATCAGTTTTGTTCACACGAATAATCTCACCAGGCTTCTCCCACATTCTGCCCACAAAATCACATACACTAGCACCAACCATATCCCATGATTTTTGATAGAAACCAACAGGGAACCCATCAGGTACATGAGCCTTTCATGGTTTCATATAAAAACAACTTTCCTAACCTCCTCATTGCTCACTTTAGCATCTAACCTAAGGATGCCTTTCTCCAAAATGATAGGAAAGGATATGCTGGTTTGCTTCCAACAATTCTAGTTGTCCCAAGTAGAGAACAACTTTTTATAGTATTCATTCACCAAGACTTTAATCAGATCTCTATCCTCTATCCACTTTCCACTATCATCCATAATCATAAGAATATTGTTGCCTCTTCTCATATTGACAATCTTCAAGTGATAATATTTAGTATTTTGATCCCCATCCACTAACCAATGGGCACTAGATCTCTGGAACCACATGAGTTCTTCTTGTCTCAGGATTTTTTTAAGCTCTCCCTGCAACTTTTTCTCCAATCTCAACAAACCTGTGATATTTTGCCTATCATGAATGCTTCTTTGAATGCCTTGGAGTCGAGCCATTAGACCTATTTTCACCCTCTGTACATGCTGAACAAAACAGTTCTTCCACTCTTTTGCACCAAATTCTATTCTTTGTAGATTCTGCATGAAATCATCCTTGTTGTTCCAAAACCCCCGCAATCTATCTATATAATTATTCTCCACCATCCATGCACTTTCAAATCTAAAAGGTTTTGGGACCCTTTCATAATTACTACCGGCTAGGGAAATCATAATTGGGTGATGGTCAGAAAACTCTACTCGAGTTAACACTTTTACTTGAGCTTCCGTGAACATCAATCTCCACTCTTCATTACTAATAGCTCTATCCAACCTCTTGTATATCCTCTGGCCACCGTGAAATATAGGCCCTCTCCATGTGAATTTATGGCCATTAACTCCAAGAATAGATAAATTATAAGCTTCCATATTCTCTCTAAAGACACTGCATTTGCAAGCAAAAACTAATCCCCACCCTTCTTTTCACTGGCAACATTTATATCATTAAAATCTCCAGCTAGAATCCCAAAGAATTCTTTTATGACATTCATTAGGGCCTGCGTACACCATAGTAAACACCCACTGACGACCTTGCTTATTATTAATATTTATGTGGATAAACTGGTCACCTCTACTTGTCAGACATGCCTTCATATTGTCATATTTACACGCCACCATAATGCCCCCCGCATAACCTAAGTTATCCACAGATATAAAGTGCTGAAAACACAAATTCTTTAAGGGACTTTGCAATTTCATCGGATCACATCTAGTTTCCATTAACACAAATATCTCAGGATTGTAAATATCAATATAATATTTACTAAACCTGAAGAAATCTTTACCCGCAACTCCTCTAGAATTCCAAGCTATAATATTTAGCTGACTAATCATTATTAAACAAAAATAGAGGTGTATCGTATTCCTTTCAAAACAATTCAACACCCTTCAGGTGTCTCCTGAACGACTTCTTCTTCCATCTCTTTATGATACATTGGATACTCATCACTTCCCAAAGTACTTGTGCCATTTGTTGTATCCACATGCATTTCGATGCTCTGTGAACCTTCAATCTCCTTCCGACTCTTGTTATCATCTGCGGGTCTTGGCTCTTGAGGAAAAGAGAAGGTGATTAAAATTTTCTTTTTTTTTGTTATCAACTTTAGTAACCTCCATATCATTCACTTGTACCTGCTTAAAATGTGTTTCAAGATCAAAATTGTACGTCCCTTTTGAATGTTGCACACTGACATGTTCTTTTTCAAGAAATTGCAAGTCTTTGTCCTTCTCAAACATCCCTTCAATAACACGCTTCATTGCTCTAATATCTTTCCATGTTAACCCTATTCTGCCACATGTTGCCAGGTTGTTAACTTTTTTGTCCCTTCCTTTATTGTATACTTGTCTCCTGTTATGCTTCCCATTATTAGTGGTTTTTTGGTGGACCACACCATGATTGCCATCTATATTCCCACTAATCTTCTGATAATTGTTATTCCTTGTCTCATCATTGATAATAACTTCCTCATTATTATTCTTGTCTACCACTTCCTCTATCACGATTAATTCCTCAGCATTGGACTTGTCGACCAAATTCTCTCTCCCAATCATTGTGTTATTATTATTTTCCATAATAACTTGCTAGTCATTAATAATATCCTTTTTTGTTCCGCTAGTTTCGCCCCCTTTACCAACCAGGGTCTCAAAGCGAGATCCCGATTTCTTGTTCCAAGGATTGCTCATCGGTTTCTTCTTCCTCGTCTCCGGTTGCTTCTGTCCATACCGGTGTTTATAGACAACTTGCTATGGTCCATCATCAGTAATGATACCTGCTTGCTCAGACTTCTTGTTATTATTAACATCACCACCTCCTATGATTTCTGCTATGCCTCCTTGATTTTCCACCTTAGTACCTTTCATTATCATCTAACAACCATCTTTATAATGTCCAAACTTCCCACTACCGAGACATAACATGTGCAATCCCTCAAACTCTATCTTGTAATTATTTTCTTTAATAGAGAACATGGCAAGTAATGGTTTTGAAATATTTACTTCAACACAGATTCTTGCATATTTTCTCTTTTCCCATTGGAGAGTATTCTTGCCCATCTTTATCGTTCTCCCAGCCAAGTCACCTATAACATGTAAAACTTTTGGATCATAATACTCAATTGGGAGGCCTGATATTCTGATCCACACAACAACATTAACAACAATTTCACTCTCTGGATGAAAATTTGATGTCCACTCTTTTACTGTTAAATAATGGTCATATATAAACCATGACCCAAAAGATAACGCCATGTTTTTATCATCTTCATGAGTAAAAGCTACCAAATAATAGTCATGACTAAGATCTATTATGTTGATGATGCCTTTCCTCACCCATATTTGTTTTAGCTGTGTCTCCAAAGTTTTATACCATATTCTCCTTCCCAAGAGCTTCACTATAACTCTACGTCTCCACGGTCTATCGATCCTTTTCTCTTCATATTTGGACAGAATTATCATTGGACAGTCATATCCAGCAATTTGAGATTCTTGAACTTTGATCCCATCCAATATTCCCTCCAACTCAGTATCCCACGTTTTATCCTGGACTGAATTACGCACTCTGTTTTCCCCATCTTGCAGCATATCATTATCCTCACCAATAACAATATTTCTAAAAGAAACATTACCAATGTACTAATTAGGCCGTTCATTCTTTGAAGCGTACCAGTCATACCAAACAGAAACCCTAGCGAGAAAAACTCAAAATGACTTTGACACTTTTTAATGTAGAATCTTTAAATAAATGAAAATTAAGCATTTTAGTCATAGAATAGAACAATGCTAATAATTTTATTATGCAGAAAATTTAATGTGTCTTATTGCGATATTGCACTTTTTCAACTTGTTTGTCTCTTCTTCATTAAAAAATCCATAAATGAATGAAGAGTATTTTAGAATTATAATATTTAAGGGGAGTATGAAGCCAAAAGCAGGGGTAGAACTCCAAAATTTGTTTTCGAATAAGTTGTTCGGTTTTGTTACCCAAGCCCACGTTCATCCTCAACCCGAAACACTCACTTCACACTCACATATATAAACCTCCTTCGGTTCTTATCAAGAAAACCCTAACGCAAATCGATCTTCTGAATCGCCGAATTAGGGTTTGTTTTCTTCTACTTCTCCAAATTTCAATTATCTAACCCTTTCTTCATTGTTTAACTCTCTGTGTGTTGAATTTCAGAAATGGCTAAGTCGAAGAATCACACCGCTCACAACCAGTCTTACAAGGCCCACAAGAACGGCATCAAGAAGCCAAAGAGACATCGCCACACTTCCACCAAAGGGGTATTCAATCTTCTCTGGCTTCTAAGTTTTCTAGTTTAACTAGATTTGAAATTATCGATTTTGATTCAAGAATTTATTTTTTTGATAACTGTAGATGGATCCAAAGTTTTTGAGGAACCAGAGGTATGCAAGGAAGCACAACAAGAAGAATGGAGAAGTTGCGTCTGATGCAGAGTAAAGCTTTTGTATTTTCATCCCAGACTATGTCTAATCTAGACTTTGATATTGTTTTGAAGTTTTTTTAATTTAGACCAATTTCACTACTCTGTTAGCATTTTTGTTAAAGGCTGTTGAAGTTATTTTCTGTGTTTTGAGTATAATGCCATAATTTACTTGTTTTGAATTCTGAAAGTGAACTGAATGCTTAATTGCGCATTATCATCCACTTTGTTAATGTATGTGTGTGACCTCAATTTAGTTAACAGAAACTACAGGATTCTTGAAAACTTCTTTAAAATGTTTCTGGTCGTGTTGATCTAAGGAAGTTTTTTTATTTACTATTTTAAAGAAGTTTATGAAATAACTTTTGTCTTCCATCAGAAATTTTTAATGTTGACTTAGAATCGCCTTAAATTGGTTCAATGAAATTCATTGTTGTGTTCTTGGGAGTTTTGGGCTAGCTTTTCTTCCAGTATTGATTATGAGTGATGTTTAAGGAGGGATGGTAAATGTTGCTTCCACCAAGGTTTCGTTCCACTTAACCATAGTATTATATTATTAGATTTGGACGGTTCAGATTGGTTACTAGCTCCTCTATTTTACTATAGAAAAACAAATTTTGAGTAAAAGCATTAGAGTTTGCTTAAAACACCCACTTTGTATAAAAGCTTAGAACACTGACTTTGGATAAAAGCATGTGAGTTTATAAACTTTGATTTTTTATCTTTGGTGAGACTGTATTAAGGACAGCCCCCAGTTTAGCATATTTTGTGTAGCAGGGTAACACACTGATGGACAATTCAATCTGGTTTGTGAGATGCTTAATATCAGTTTGTGTGTTTTTAAACTTTGATTTGATCGGCTGAAAACTAATTGGATCAAGGATCCAAGACATTGGATCAGCTGATCATTCGTTGGCTATTTAGTTTGTTTTCTAAATTTAGACTGTTGATTGATCTTGTCAAGGCACCAGATCAGCTGATCATTTGTCTGGCCATTGGGTTAGTATTTTGACCGGTTATTGATCAATCCAAGTTCTGTATGATTCATGCTGTCAATGTATTAAATATTTTCAATGCATTAAAATCAAAGAGTCTGATTTTCTTGATATATTATGGTTTGTATAAATGGATGTGACTCAATATGCATGAGTAGTTTTAGTTTGGTTGGTTAAAACTATGCTGGTGTATTTTCTTCAATTTTAACTATTCAAGAGACTGCCATGCTGACTTTTCAAGCAGGGCAGTTTTTTTCTTGCAAGTTTTATCGGAGATGGAAATCAATTCTTTTCAACTAGAAACTTTATTAGAGAAACTTAATTGGAGATCAATTTAATAAGATGAAAATTTTTTATTATAATATGAATTTATAATTAAGACCCTTATTGATATAAGTTTAATTATCTGTTTGCAAATTTTTTTTGAAACATGATAATTATTTTATTTTAAAACAATTTTTATAATATAAAATATGAGTCAAACTTGTGAATTTTATTGTGAAAGAATGGACTTTAATTTTATAGTAGTTTCGTTCTACGATAAATTACATTTTTTATATTTTTGAAAAAATAATATTCTGTTCTTATCGGATATTTAAATGCCATTTTCCTTTAAATCTATGCATCTGTACGGAATAATTTAATAGATTATTGGGCATTTAAGAAAAGTGTGTTTTTTTACAAATATAATTAAATTGCCGGTGTCAAATTTGTAGTTTCTTTTTTGATGCAAACTAACTAAATGCATTTCATTCATCACAATAGTTTCAATACAAGGTGGACAATATTCAGCATTTCATTCATCACAATAGTTTCATTACAAGGCGGACAATATTCAAAAATATTATGACTACATAAAACCGTGCCACGCTAACTCATGGGCCACTCGACTTTGTCGATTGACTTTTCAGTTATGAAACAAACTTAATAATGTTTTACAGTTTCCAATCAAACAATTATATTTAATGATATTAACTATATTTTCCGTTAGATTTTGCACTACTTGCAAGCAATCTATTTTCATATTTAAAAGATTTAACAAGACACCCCTCAATTTAAACATGACACTCTTAATGTTTATTTTCAAAATGCCTTTGTTACTTTTACCGCTAAAATGTTTATATTTGTAAAAAAAGACTATTTGGTAAAGGGGGGTGAAAAACAAAATTTCTGATACCGAAATTACGCTTTAACCAGAAATTTTTTATATTTCCAAAATATCCAATGTGATTTACCAGAAATTAAAAATTTCTCGGGATGATTTTCCAAAAATTATTATATAATCTGGAAATTTTCAAAATTTTCAGTAGGCAACATAACACCGGAAATTTGTAATTTTCGGCATATCGAAAATTTTGCATATAATTTAAATTTTCGATATATTTGCGGATGAAATTTTATATCTGTGGGGTCCAACCGACGACTTCAACTTCTATGAATTTATGTATAGATTGTACGCGGTTCTTCACCACATATACCGTATGATTCCTATTGAATTTATAAATTTTTATTTGTTTTCCGACATTAATAAAATTGATAAAATTTATTTTATATTGTAATTGACATATTTTTAAATCGCGATCTGAAGTTTTAGAATGGGCACAATCTATTGGTAAAAAACATATTTTTTGTTGTTACAATTCATTCTGATTCTGCTAATAGAATGCGAGAGAGGAAGGCTAAATTAATTATGAATTACGAGAGAGGAGGAAATTATAAAAGAAAAAAATGAATCTGAGAACACCTCTGATGACATCTATACTATGAAGGTTAATATCTGTTTAGTTTGAGATCTATTTCAAGTGGTATCGGTTGGAAGGTGATGGTTAGACACGAGATGCACAATCATAGACTAGACAAGGATTTGGAAGACCATGACATATTGGGTTGTCTAAAAGACCATGAAATAAAATTTGTGAATGACATGACGAATTACAATGTGACACCAAGGTACATCATTTATGCTTTGAAAGACAAATATCCAGAAAACGTCACGAGTATTACCCAGATATATAGAGCTAGAGCAACATACAAATTGGGCAAGAGAGGTGTAATTGTGAGTACAAACTTCGTCGTCAAATATTTTGAATGATGTCAAAATTGGGAAAAGCTTGCACTTATGAGTAATAGATAGTATCCTTATGTCTTGTGGCACTCCTCTGCATTAGAGGTCTTATGAATCATTAAAAAGCATCTTAAAATTGATCCAAGTCATTAAAAATAATTTTTTGTATGATTTTTTATTGCATGTGTTGACACATCTATATTTCCGATCGACACATGTAACTCATTATTAAAGCATGTAGCATATGTAAGTCTTAGGCAGACACATGCACGATTCAGGTCGACACATACTGAAGCTTTTCTGAAATTACATAAATTTTTATTTTATGTGTCGACACATCTACTTTTCAGGTCGACACATTTACTATCGTTTTAAAGCCTGTAGCTTATGACTTGTTTCGATTGACACATGGCTTCTCCTAGGCCGACACATACATTTTAAAATCCACGTATGTGTCAACACATACGATATATAGGCCGACACATACTTTTATGTTTGGTTAATTTCTTTAAAAAAAATTTATTCTGAATTTGTCCATTTTGCTCTAAAAGTTCCAAAATAATAAATAGTCTTTCATGCATCATTCATAACTTGTTGAAACCATCAAAATTAGCCTATTTCTCTCTTCATCTTCAATCTCCAAATCTATGCATACACATTGACATTACATTGTAATGATGTTCCGTTGGGGCGTCATCTAAACAAGGATTGCTAGTGTCCAATTGTGTATTGGGGGGGGGGGGAGTTTTGTGGGGGATTTCATCCAGGAAAAACCTCGGGTTCCAAGATCATTGGTTGATTTGAGGGTTTTCGTGCAAGACGTTCAAGAGGTAATTGCGGTAAGGTGAACAACCTTGGAGTGCTTAAAAATCTTTGCAAGGAACCTTGGAGTTTTGAAATCTTTACAAAGAAGTAACTTGGAGTACCAGATAGAATCAAAGTCTTGTGTTGCAATATCTTGAAATTGACGGTGCGTGAAATCTTTGGAGATGAAGAACACAATGGAGTAGCAAGATCTAGATAGTCATTTTTTATATAATGTATTTTGGTCTCTCTTAAGATCAAAAGTGGAGAAAGGATTGAATCAACAACAAGCTTAGGATTTGTGGAGTTTCTCTTGAAAACTTCTCTTGTATCAACAATTTTTATAGTAAGAATTATCCTAATTCCAATTAGGAGCAAACGTACCCATACGCGAGGACGATATTGGGAAACTGTGAAGACAAATTCCTTATGTCGCTTTTATTTTTGCTTCAACGGTAGGGTTGTTCTATTGCGACCCTGAGATCATGGGTTTGAATCCTGCTGAAAACAACCTCTCTGTTATAAAAAGAGGGGGTAAGACTGCATACATCCGACCCCTCAGGGCCCATAAAATGGGAGCCTCATGCACTAGGTTACCCTTTTTACTTGCTTTGGTACTCATTGATCAATTTGTCAAATATCATTGCGTTATCATTTGAATTGTAAGAGTTTTCCTAATCAATTTTGATTTTACCTCAAGTGTTGATATAGCTTATAATCACTTTTGATTATAAGTGGTTTTGTGTATCAACACAATCAAAGAAAAAATTCTATAAATTCACTTGCGCACCAAGTGTTTGATAAATTGACTAAACTAGTTCTTTTAATATAACCATTGGAAATAACCTTGCTAAGTGAAAGTTATTAAAGGATAACGTTCGCGTATCCGAGCTTATTATTTCTATTTTCATTCATATTCTATATTGAAATTTGTTTTACAGTTTGCATATCTGAGCTTCCCGATAACGTTCGTATAGACAACAATTTGAAAAACTTTCACGTCGTACGTTGATAAACTTTTTCAAAACAAAATTTATTTGAAAATTTTCAAAGGAGTATCTATTCACCCTCCCTCTAGATACATTTCCATCGTCTAACAAGTGGCATCAAGAACCCGGTTCATTCTGAGTTTGACACTTTTGGAAAATGACTTACGAACCTAAAGGGGATTATAAAAGAGCCCTAATTTTCACGGGAGAAAATTATAGTTATTGGAAAGCTTCTATGCAAATTCATGTCAATTCATATGACAAAGGTGTTTGGGAAGCTATTATAAATGGTCCAACACTGTTGACATATGTTGTTGATGGTGTTACCGTACCAAAGCCGAAAATCTTATGGGATGAGAAAGATGTGAAAAAGTGGTCTTGCGATTGGAAAGCAAAGAGCATCATTGTATCCGCACTCGGTGTATATGAGTTCTATCATATTTCTCATTGTCAAACCGTGTAAGCTATGTGGGACACTCTACAAGTGACCTATGAGGGAACTAATAAGGTCAAATAAGCTAGAATTAATACACCTAATCAAGAGTTCGAAATCTTTCCCATGAAGCAAGGGAAAACCATTGCTCAAATAAAAAAGAGGTTCTCTCATCTTATTAATCGTTTAAATTTACTAGGCAATCATATTTTCAATGCTATTTATAATAACAAGGTGTTGAGATATCTTAGTAGAAATTGACAACCAAAGGTCACCACGATCAAGGAAGCTAATAACCTTGCTACACTCAATCTCACCGCATTATTTAGTAAGTTAGAAGAGCATGAGCAAGAACTCAATTACTTAGACAAACATGAAAAGAAGCTTGAGAAAAAGAAGAAAGAAAAAGGGGCCATCAAGGAAGAGGTATTGAAGTCTAAGGCTCTCAAGGATTCAATCTCAAAGTCCTCAAGAGAAGAGCTCTCAAATGATAGTGACTCTAGTAATGAAGAGAGTTAAGATGATGAAGAGATATGATTATTTGTAAAAATATATAATCTATACATTCAAAAGAGTGGTGTCGAACACTACGAAAATAATCTTGTCA